GTTGGCTTTTTTATCAATCTTAAATATTGACTTTATCTTCCATTCTTTCCAAGTGCCTACGAAAAAAAACCCATTCTGATTCGTATATAAACGGTGGATTTTGTATACTAATTACTTTTTCATTCGCTTCGACACTATACACCATTAGCAGCACGTACATAAAAAAAAGGCGGAATAACAAGTGATCGAGAAATACGCAAAGTAAGTAAGCATTATTTGATGCGTGTTCTTTAGGGGTGCTCCTCTTTGCTTTGCAAGAATTTTTGGAAATTTCGGAGAGATATTTTAGAACCTGTAGAAAAGAAACCTTGACTAACAGAGCAAAGTTGTTTTACTGTGGAGAAAAGCGGATGCTTCCATGAAACACTTGTCATAATCGCTTTTCTTCTCGCTAGGGTACTCATTAGATGGCTTTAGTCTTCTATAGTTTTTCAATTAATTGAATAGTCTTCTATATATATAAAGGAGAAATTTTGTTTGTTTGTTTGTTTGTTTGTTCATTATGCATTCAGTCTCTGTGATAGCTACGATCACCCAACTTCTCAAGATGCTTTCCCAGGTCTCAAGGAACGTCCCGATTGTATTGGAATCACTAAAAAGAGGTGGTAGAGGGAAGGGTCGGGGTACCTGAGTGGACTTTTACCCAGATGGTTTCGTGATAGATGATGCTACGAAACTTTTCATAGCATTTTCCTGGATCGAATGATGATTGAAGAGGGTGTTGAAGACACTATTCAGTGTTTAGAGAAGGTGCCTGGATTAAATTCCACCCAGATGGACGTGCAATAGCTAAAGCCAACAAGATGTTCATGCCACTTGCGTATGTACAGGAAAAAGTTGAGAGGGGATGGAAGACGGAAGATAGTTGAAATTTAATCCAATTTCAATTAGCTTATTTGATCGATCTCTAGAGTATCCATCTATTACCGCGTTTTCGCATTGGTTTCGTTCTGTTACACGGAATTAACGGCAATTCAGAAGCGAGATATCTATCCTCACACAATATCCATGTGGCCATCGTGCTTTATCATGGACATGTGTGTATTTGTGATAGATGAAACTTTAAATCCAAAGCTAAGACTTTCTAGGTCTGAACTGAAGTGGGAATAGAGTTGGAGTAAGATCTGGAAGAAGAAGAATAAGCTTTGCAGTAAGAACTGTAAAAAAGAGGTTTTGCGGGCGCATCAGTAAGAAAAAGGGGAATTCAAAAAACAACATAGTATGAATTGTCCTATCTCAGATATGCAGGGCCGGATATGTTAAAGTGATAGATGAAATAGTTCATCTCAGCCCTCATTGCAATCCGTGCCTTTTTTCACATATGAGGTTTTCAATCTGAATGGCTTTGGACCAGCAGGCGATACGCCCGCTAGTCTTCTTCTTATTATATGTATACCGATAAATGTCTATCTGTTTGTCTGTTCTTTATGCATTTGATCTCAATAAGAGCCAATGCAGCTAAACTGTGATTTCATGTGTTTTAGCGTTTTCCGGGAAATTGATTTTTGACCACATCCACATATGAGAGATTTCATACCATAGGCATGTAGGAAATATAGGGCATACAAGGCGGGCGTATATCTCTGGATGTGTGAGTGGGTGGGTGTAAGTGCAGAGGTACGCATGAGTTTTTTTATAGCCAAACGGCTTCGGCCCTACCCACACCCAACCACACCCACACCCACACCCACAGCCTCAAATATGAAACGACGATAAAAGTAAAATGATGATGAAGTGTTAATCGAGATGAGAGAATAGAATTAATCGAAATTAATTTATCATTTTGAAGATATCAGAAGAATAAAGAAAAGGAAAGAAGGATCGAGAAATATTGCTTTTCATAGTGGGAACATGGGAAACTTTCTTTTTTGAAAATCTGAACATATATATTTGGTATTGGTAAAAGTTTTCAGTGTGCCTTCTTTTCTTTTAGAAAAGATTATGTCCGAAACTATCCCTATTGTGAATTCTTGGACTGAATGGGGACAGCTCGAATTAATTTGTGTTGGAAGTACGCAAGGCATGTGCTATCCGGATTATGATTACGTTGCTCCACATAATGAAGTTCTTGATGAAAGCTTAAGAAATTATGTCACGTCATTTGTCGGGCCTCGTCCGGCTCATCGTATTCAAATGGCACAACAGCAATTAGAAAATCTTTCAAATATACTTGAAGGGGAATCAGTTCAAGTGAAAAGTGTTCAAGAAATGGATAAAGATATCAACTTGTTACTTGAAAGAAAGCGAACATTTCTTCAAACGGATGCAAATGAAAAAGGTAACAAAGTTTTACAGAAGCAGAGAATAGAAGTGTGTCGCTCACCGGCTGATGGCAAACGCTTCGATCATTTCATTCAAACGCCTTATTTTCAATCACATTTTCAACTCGGTATGTCCTGTCCGCGAGACATGTTGATTACTCTGGGAAATACTATAGTTGAAGCCCCAACTGCCTGTCACACGCGCTATTTCGAGGCGAGCTACTATCGTGACATGATTTATCCACTTTATACAAAAGACAAAAGGGTAAAATGGTTATCTCCTCCAAAACCAACATGTTCAAAAGCAATGTTTGATGATGCGGATGTGTGGGAAAAAACAAGTATGTCGACATTTAAGAATAATTTTGCTCTTAATGGATACAAAACGTCTCTCAACGAAAAAGAACTTGCATTCGATGCCGCTGATCTGATTCGAATGGGTAAAGATGTTATCTTTAAGAAATCTGTGTCAACCAACTACAAAGGAGTCGACTGGTTGCGACGCACATTTGGTGGAGACGGACCTGAAGGGCTACGATTCCACGTTATGCATTTTCCTACATCGCCTGATCTACATTTAGATTCCACACTAATTCCTCTTCGACCCCCGACCGCCGGATCTGAAGGTCTTGTGCTTATCAATCAGAACCGTCCGCCACTCGCTAATGAGCTGCAACTATTTTTGAATAATGACTGGAAACCAATATGGTGTCCATTACCAGTCATAAACAAGGCATCGCCAGTGGCAAATTGTTCTCCTAACCTTAACATGAACTTTCTGTCATTGAATGAACGCTCGTGTATCATTGAAGAATGTGAGCTACCTCTCTATCATTTTCTCGATGATCTTGGATTCGATGTTATTACATGCCCATTACGTGTACTGAATGAGTTTGGTGGGGGTATTCATTGTGGTAAGCACACGATTTCTCTTTCAGACATAGGCTAGCTTGAGAGAAGTTCCCCTGATGGTTTTTCTACAACGAATTGAACTCAGTCGCAGATTACATCCTTTTATATACTTTATGAAAATGTAACAGAAAAGATAAGATAGCAGCTAGGTCTAGAATATGTATCTTTGTTTTAACAGGCAACGTTTGTATTGCCAGACCGATAACCATCTATTTTCAAACGTTCAAACGTACTATAAAGTGGGAACCTAATATAGTCGTGTGGTCAAAATTTATGAAGCCTATTTCATTTCCTACACATATATTCATTGATAGTCAGTTACATAAGAAACTATGAGTTTAATGAACCATTGTTCTTTTATCTGTTTGTTAAATTCACATGAATATAATATTGTTAAGGAAATTTTTAAACCCTGTACCAAGTTCACTTATAATATGAATCAGTAGTAACGCAGCTGTGAATCGAAGGGGTATAGTACAATATAATTAATGTTCAATGATCGACACCATCGAAATGTAACGTTATATTCGATTGATTAAGTCTATTTTGAAAGCTTAGTATATTGTAATCCCTAATAAAAATTGACCGCAATGAAATTCATCTACTTTCACGCAAAATATAATAGATTTTCTAATTTCAAAAATAGTAAAATTTGTCTATACGACAAATATTGTAATGAATAGTCGTTTATGATTCTTCTATGCTTTCTAGTGACATGGGATATTCGACGAAACGATTCTTGCAAAGACTACTTTCCAAACCAAGATTATGATCAAGAATGCAATCGTAATATGGACAATGCTTTCGATCAACCGCTTTATCAAGATAACGTTCCCAATCCAATCAACTTCGCCAAAGACTCCATCCGGGCAACACAAAAGAGTCAGGACAAAAATTAAACGCACTGTCAGCTGCTTAACGTTTAGCATGAACTGAATTTTTTCTTACTTTTAACCTTTTAATTTTTTAACCAGTCTTGCGTTAACTATTTACCCTCCACAACGGTTCTAGAAGAAGTGCCAATAAAGTACCCGCATATCTAGAACAATAGTTCTTCTAGTATACCATTTTTGTTCCCAATTGATCGGATACCTCGCCTTCAATACATACGATAATAATCACTCCACTGACCGTTGAAGGGACAACGAGAAAAAGGTTTTTTGACAGAATTCAACTATTTTGATTGAGTAATCTAGAATAGAAGATATGAATGAATCTTTAAAAAAATTCAAAATCTAGTTTCCTTATTTATTAGTGCACTATGGGACCTAAGCAAGGGGATAAATGGTGATTGGATGCCGTGGCATCTCGGCGCGTATTCAGCACCTTCTGGGTGTGGGTGTGGATACAGTTACCTAATACAATCACATCCACACCCAAACTCACACTCACACCCCACACCCACGCCCACACCCAAACTCACACTCACACCCAACGCCCTCACCTACACCCAACCTTTCTTTGCATGTTGCATACAAAAGAGAAAAAATAATGTACTTTTTTTGCAGCATTTCAAGAACATCGAATTGAGGAGTATTTGTAAGTTACTACTGTCTGCGATGCTACTTCATTTACATAAAAATAATAATTTTGTATTAGATGTCAACATACACATATCTTTATTTATTTATTTCTTCCCTAGAAAAGCAATTTAATGAAAGCTGAGCAGCTCACATATATGGATAGGAAACCTTTGTACAGCCTGCAACTCATGCTGAAGAAACCTGCAAGATATATAATTAACCACATATTCTTTTTCATCTGCCTACATTATATAAACAATACGTCGGTGAAGTGAAATATAAACATTTCTTTTCTTTTTGAATACAACAATTTATATATAAATATTGATACTACAATGAAGAGCAAGCTAATAAATATAGAAAAAGACAAGTTAATCCTCCTCGTCGAGTATTATTCACTACGCTTGTAGAAACAAACAGTATTCCATACCATCATCCACTATCTGTACCATCTGTTTCCAAAGTTTCTCGTCAAGTTTGTAATTCACTATTTAAATTTCTCCTTTTATTCATACGAATTATTTCGATCTAGCATCGTAATTCACTAAAAAAACACAGACGATATCCTACTGTTATCCTTGAAACCAACCAATCAACAATAAATGATATTTATCCGACGAAAAATAACTCTGTCAATCCTAAAGACGCTTCGTTGCTGGTTAGCTTCTTAAAATCTTGTACTATTTATACTTTTTATTTGCCTAAATAGATGCCAACTAGTTTGATTACTCATCAACAACATAATAAATCCTTGCCTATCGTAACTCGAAAGACAAGACGTGAAACCTTCACTATAGCTCAGGATAAATCTACAACACCAACTACTACTCAAAATTTTGACAAATTACTAAACAATCGAACACGCGCTGTCAATGCCACAAAAATTAATCAACATTATCAGCCACCAACAAAGGTGAGACAGTAAAATGAGAAACATGTTCATTATTGAAGATCTGGAAAATGTTTTGTTTTCGTTCTGTAAACAAGTTCGTACTTAAAACATACACATCTTCACAAAATGTTTTTTAAAAACGATGAAAAATTCTAATTCCATACAAAATTCGACAGAGATAATATTCAATAATGTTTTTAACGAAAAAAATGCCAATTGGGACTTTAGTGTAAAGATAGCAGAAAAGCAAAAGATAAATTTTATCTTAATTGTAATTATACTTTATGTAAGGATATTACTATACAGGATCAGCGCGAAATGAATTATATAGGGTATCTCATCTCATTGAGGTGTCAAATTCCTGAGATGGGTGATTAGATATGTGTGTAAAGTGTGGGTGAGAGTGTTGATTTAGCTAAATCGTAAATATAATGCTCACATCCACACCCTTAAATTTCAACACAGTACCTTGTGAGTATGTGTAAATCAACTCAGCCATAACGGCTTAATGTCTTAAATTAATGTAGATAACTGACTCATGGTCAAATGAAGTGAATTTCAAAGATATACATAACAAAAAGTCGAACAGAAATAAAAAGATATGGTAAGTAATTGTTTCTTGCGTTTTTCTCATTAAACATTGAAAACGTTTCCTTTATATGTTCTGATAAAAGTTGTTGCGGATATTCACATATCTGTTTATGCCTATTTCTACTTGGTTTTTTTCTTCTCGCCACGAGTATTGCTGCAATACTTGTCGCCCTCGTTGCTATACCTAAAACGACAACAACAGGAACAACGATTACAACGACAACAGCAACGATAATGACTACAGCGACAACATCGACAGCAACAACAACAACGTCAGCAACAACAGCAACTACAACGACAACAACGATAACATCGACAACGGTAGCATCGACTAGAGCCCGCCGGGTCCGACCCGGACCCGGACCCAGACCCGGACCCGATCGGGTCTGGGTCGGGTCCGGGTCTGAAATTTTTGTTTTAACCGGGTCCGGGTCCGGGTCCGGGTCTCGAAGCTTTTTCTGACCGGGTCCGGATAAAAAAAAATATATCATCGAAACGATATTTTTATACTACTCGGTGAACATGAGAATGCCATTCTGGATTTGAAAACTGGTTGATAGATCTTCAGAAAACTAAACCTAAAACCTTTTTTTTGTTGTTTTTTTTCCTCCTTAGTTTTGGCTTTTGGATAGTTAAGACTAAAAAGTTTTCTAAAGGTACAGTTCGAGTTCAGACTAGTGCTCGTCGAAATCGGGTCTAACCCGGACCCGGACTGGGCATCGGGTCCGGGTCCGGGTCTACCGAAAATTTTTTGAACGGGTCCGGGTCGGGTCCGGGTCCGAAAAATTTTTATTGGGCGGGTCCGGGTCCGGGTCCGGATCCAAAAAAACGTAGACCCGGCGGGCTCTAGCATCGACAGCAACAACAGCAACTACAACGACTACAACAACAATATCGACAGCAACTACAACGACTACAGCAACAACATCGACAGCAACAACAACAACTACGACAACAACGACAATAAATCCATGTAAGTAAAGAGATATTTTAGTCAGTTACACTATAATATCCTCAAAATATCTATTTTTTAAAAATTTTTCGAAAATATCTGAAATTCTAATATTTAGTGCAATAGCTTTTAGACAGATCTTTATATTTGTTTTGTATCTATTTCATATCATATCATTTTTGAAAGAAAATATTTTGAAGGACTCCTGTATTTAAATAGATATTTATTTAATTGATTCGTCCGAAACACGACAATAATATTAAAAATATTTTCTAAAATCCTCACATATTTCAATAACCTGTAACAAATCAAAAGGAAGATAATTGAATATTTTATTTTATTACGTATTGAATTGATATTTATTTCATAACTAATATTCTTTTACGCACTATTTGATATAAAAGACATTACAATAAAATGAATATTTCTCTCTTGTCTTCTATATTTGCTCTATAAATGTTTATATTATTTCCCCGATTAATGATAATAACTTCAAAAAGGGAAGAGGACAGTGTACATATATATATAGACATAATAATGTCACATATGATTACATGGATATCGTTGTATGTATTCACTATCATAATCAAAAGAAAGGAAGCAAAAGCTAAGATAAATGAGCAGATGATTATGTTAACAAGAAAAGGATGTCAATATAGATTGAATGCTACTAAGATTATAATAAAAAATATTGAATAATTAATCATTATTTTTCCGTTCACTATTAGGTATATCTGGTAATTCAGGTTGGAATAAAACTGGTATTACTGTGCTTAGTTCATCGTCATCACCAATCGCAACATCTGGTGTATTTATTGACTCAAATGATAATTTATATGCTGTGGATGAGAACAATAATTATGTTGTATGGAGACTACTGAAAAATGCTGTAAATGCAACAGTTATAGCTGGAACCTTTGGATCACCAGGATCGAGCAGTACTCAGTTATATTATGCTAACGATGTTTTTGTTGATAAATCGGGAACTATATATGTAACTGATGCATATAATTATCGAATACAAAAGTTTAGTAGTGGATCAAACATTGGAATTACTATAGGTGGAACTGGATCAGGTGGATCTGCATTAAATCAGTTAAATACTCCACGATATTTTACTTTTGATTCAACAGAGACATATATGTATGTTGCGCATACTGGAAATAATCGAATTGTACGTCTTTCAACAAATTCAACTTTAGGTACTAATGAAGTTCTTGAAGCGGGTGGAACTGGAGCTAACAATGTAAACACATCATTGAACGGTCCATGGGGTATTCATTATTTACCATCTATAAGTAATGATCTATTTATAACAAATTATGGTGGACACTCAGTTATACGTTGGACTCCTGGTGCTTCATCAGGCAGTTTCATTGCTGGTACGCCAGGTGTATCAGGTTCTGATTCAACTCACTTGAATAGTCCGATGCGAATTAAAATTGATAGTTATATGAATATGTATGTAGTTGATACTTTCAACCATAGGATTCAGTTGTTCTGTACCAATACTAGTACTGGTATTACCGTTATTGGTGATGGTACTCCGGGTATTAGTGCAACACAATTATATTATCCACGAGGTATTGCATTTGATTCAGCAATGAACATGTATGTTGGTGATACAGGAAATCATCGAGTGCAAAAGTTTATGAAACTCTAAAATACTACAGACAACCTTCACATTCATCATATTTTCTTTTTAAATTATTGATCATAACATTTTATCTCATTGAAATTTAGCTTGAAGCTTCGTAGAAAAAAGGACATATTATAACAAATAGTGCCCATTGCAATTGATTTATACGCACATAGCTTTTTATTGATTCACTCTTCTTTATAAGTAGTTTGCTTGCTCAATAAATAAATCATATAAGAATTTGCATATATAATAAATAACAAGTAACGCTTGTCTAGAGACTCACTCAGCTTTTTCTCGTAGAAACGATGTGTCTTGAGGGTGGGTGTGGGTGTTGACGGGTGCATAGGATTTTAGGTATGCTTGATAGGTGTGACCTAGTTTGTTCTTCAACCGAAATCACATCGACACCCACTCGTTTTGCCTTGTAAATCGCTCTTCTCGACGTTTCGCAATCACAATGAGATTTGGTTTGCAGTACTATAAATACCATCTTGATATGGTGTGAGTGTGCGTGATGAAGATGTGGCTTCGGTTAAAGAACAAATTAAGTCACACCCATTAAGCATACCTAGATTCCTACGCATCCATGCACACCCGGAAGACCAACGTATTTTTTTTTCTTGCTGCTTTTCTTCAAGAAAATAGAACATTAGAATCGTTTTCATTCGACAAAAATTACTTTAACAATATAAAATGATATTTAATAGGCATGATTATTGTGTTTCTGATTATAATCAGCAAAGTTTGAATGACTCTCTTCTTTTTTCGTTAATGTTCAGAATGTATATTCTCATTTAATTACATAAAATCGAATGAAAATATTCTATAGAATAAATCAAAATGTCGTCTCACGAAACTGAATCAGACGAAGTGATTCGACGAAAAGAAAGATTATCAATTTTATGATTTACTAATGTTACTACAACTTTACGGTTTTGTAGAGCAGATTTGTCTAAGATATTATGAATATTTTGTTTTATATGTGAAATCATTTTAAACCAGATTATTTACAGATATCTTTATTTTATATAAAAATAAAATTTTTTGGAAAAGATGTAAAATATGCCATAAAAGTTTAAGATTTTTTAAACTCTCTTTTCATTCTTTTTTAATATTAGTTGTTAGCTGACAATGGACAGCGAAATATGATTTTTTCTCTAAAGTCGAAAGTTTAAGACACTTAGTGTTTTGTTGAGTTTATCATTATTGAAAGTAGAGGATATTCATTATCAATACTTGTCAAATTACGTGAGTAACATAAAGAAGATAACATTGAAAAAGTTATTTTACAATTGAAACATAATTCATGTGTGCAAATGATTTCATTGCTATTTATATTTCAATTATGAAACTTTTAAAATGTATAGGACAATATGACTTATATATATATGTTATAAAAATTTCAGCTTCATCTTGCTTTATTTCGCTGTTGTATTAGAAATACGAATTAAGAAACAATACAGTTCCATGACATCAGATACATTAAACTATAGGAATTTTTGGCTGAAATTATGCATAACATCATTTATATGAGCGAGAAAAGCAGTGGCGATCTTATGTTTACTCGGATTGAGCAATAATAATGAGAAAAAAAATCATTATCGTATCTGATTTTATGAGAACTTTACTACTATATGGTTATATGGACAAAAATATGCTCTATATGAAACTAATTACAGTCCAATTTGAAAATATTGAACCTTCCAAAGAAGCAGTTTGTTTCAATTGATCTTCATTAATATTCGATTTGAGAAAATCACTTTCAATAAATAACCATTAGTAGTATACTAGAAAAATCTACATTATTAAGAATTGCTTCATGTCGATTGATATCATCATAGCACTTTCGTAGATATACGAATTATAGTTTTGTTTTATAGTTCTGTCAGCTAAACATAAATCAGTTAAACTAGCGAATACAAATGTAACTATAAAAGGATAAGAAAGCTACGAAAGTCTCAATGCAATTGACTTAAAGCAGAAAGAGTTGTAAAATGAGCGATCAAAGTTATTGATAATTACGAAGAATAGTATCTTTTTGTAGATTGTCTTATAGCAATAGGAATCAAAATAGATTTGCTTATTCTTTTGACCTTCCATCATCTTTTAACGATAATAATAATTCCTTACTTGTATGACTCTTGTCTAAATAATTCAAAATATAGATATATATATATATATATTATATGAAAGAAATAGAATATTCACTGTATATAATTCTGATCAAATTTCTTTGGATATCGTTTTGCTTATATCATATTTATGTGAATAGTACACTAAACAGTTGACTAATATTGATCAAATGTCTCTGTTAGTTTAATCATCATTATATTTGTCATAGTATTTTTGTTGTTAATAAAATTCTGACATAGAATAGGTACATATATTCTTAAAAATGTTAGATAATAACAATTACATTCATGAATAATTGAAAAAATCTCAAGTTATGAGAAAATAATGTAAAAAACAAATGTTTTTCTTATCTTAAAATTATTCATATGTAATATAAATATATTTTCGCATACATTCATGTAAACATCTGTTTTTCTTTTTTTTTATAAAGAATATTTAAAATATTTTTTATAGAAACTTATTTTCGTATAATTATAAATATATTTTTAGCACAAGGTAAAGCACGTGTTTTTTTTCAATCGATATATTTCTATGTATATAAAAATGACGTATTAGATTATTTTATTCAGTGAAAATGAAAACAAACAAATACTGTAAGCGGGATTATATAATAATTTTTTAAAATAAATGTTCTAATGCATATCATGTGGTTTTCCACTATGTTCAGCCGTACATCCTGGTTTATCACAAGTACTTCCTCGTCGTACATTTGTTTCAGGTGGTGTTGCTAATGCATCATCTGTACGATGCATACCAACTGTATTTGTAATGGAATTCATACCTGCTGGAGCTGATTCCGTTGCTATTTTTCCATCGGAAACTTCACTATGTTCATTTGATGTCGACGACATATTTTTTTTCTTGCTTTTAATATTGTTGTATTCGTTGTTTGCAATAAATAGTGTGCTTTTAACACATCCGCACAGTATGGTTATATAAGGGGAGAAAAAGAAAAATGTAAATATGATTCAGGTAACACAGTATAAAACAAGAAAGAATCATTTTCTTTTCATATTGACGACGACTGAATCAGTTACATTACACTGCAACTTTTTCTTTTTTTTTTGTTCTTATTCATCAAATTTGTATGTATGCTTGCACCATACTTACGTAAAAAAGAACGAACAAAGCTTAAAGTTTAAAGTAATTCTATAGTCTAGAATATACTCAATGAATGAATTCTTGTTCATAGAAAAACAAATTAATCATCTTATCTAATTTTTATTCTTGTATAAAAAAAAAAAACCTAATTAAATAATAAAAGATTTTGTTTATTCCTCAGTAATCGACTAGACTGTTGTGAAGCACAATAAAAGATATGAATAAAAAAAAACAAACGAACAACGCGGAACAAAAAGAATACAAAGAATGATTTTTGTCTAAGGAGTGTGTACTTTTCGAGATCACAAATTGATATCTATTTTCGTGTTTTTGTTTTTCAATGAATATTCTAATTTTGTTTTCATTAATGAAAACAATTGTGACCTGAGAAGATTGACACTTTGTTTTGGCGGTGACACACATATACCAATGAGTATCAGACACAAGCCAAAAACTTTTTTTTTAAAAAAAACAACAGACAAACAAGTTAAAGAATCTATGAGATGCTTAGAGCGAAGAGCAGTGAAGTGTAAGAAGGAGAATAATTGAGAAAATAAAAGTCGATCGAACAGAAAATAAAGATGATGAAGATCGAGGCTTATCACAAAAAAGCCATTCGGTATTTATTGAACGTGGGTAATCAATTGCTGATTCCATACTTGTATCATTTAAACGCCAAAAATCAAGACCTTTGAAAAAATATGTCGAACCTAAAAATATAACAAATTGAAGAAAAAAAATTGTTTTGTTTTTCATTATTTTTACCAGTTAAATCAACAAAAGCATCATCAAGGGGAATATCAATTCCTTGCCACATTGTCATATCTCTTGGATAATCATAAGTATTAACACGATTCCATCTTTCATCTAATGCCCAATATAAATTTGATGAAACAAGATAAGCTTGACGATTAAATGACCATAAAAAAGCTGCATCAATACGATCGACATGTGTTGGAAGACCAAGTGAAGTTATATTACGTGGATAAGTAATACCATTTTTTTCCACTGATATTCTATTATCTTCAAATATCCAATATTGACGACCTGAGAAAAGCATTAAACGTCCATCAGCTCTTTCATAAGCAGCATCAACTTTTTGTAAAGTTTCGGGTAAACCTAACCAAAAAGCATTATTGATCATTGGTGATGATGGATCTAAACCACGTCGATCATATTGCCAAAAATACTAAAATTATAAAATAATAAAAATAAAAATATAATAATAATAACTAACTTGTCCTTTAAATATAAATAAAACTCCTTTATACATTGTAATAGCATCATAAAAACCATCACATAAATCTAATTTTGATTGATCTGTACGATTGATTTTATTTTGTTCTGTTGTTGTTTCGTAAGGTGTTTGTAAGCGAAGATAAGTTGTTTTTACTGGTGGGATATTTGTTGTATATCGAGTTTTTGGTCCATATAATGGATATGTTCTTGTCTGATGCGTTTGTGTTTCATTATGAGAAGATACCGTGGTTATGAGGGTAGTTGATATTGTTGTTTGAATTGTTGTTATTGTTGGAATCATGGTCGTTGTCGTCGTCGTCGTCGTCGTGGTTGTTGTTGTTATTGTTTCAATTATATTTGTTGTTATTAATTCTGTGATTGTTGTTGTTGTATAATCATTATATTCTTCTGTTATTTTATCGGAATACATTGTTGGTGAACTTGAATCTTCTTCTGGTAGAGAATTACTTGGAGGATCTTAAAAAAGAAATAGTTTTTTTTTCCGAAATCTTTCAATATAAAATTATTTACCTCCATAAAGTTTTCGA